AAAGACCAGCACTACAACAGAAGAACAGCAAAAAAAAATGATAATTAGTAGAAAAAGTGAATAAGCATATATAAATACGGTTACCCACAATCGCAGAAATAGAGACACAATGTGACACAGAACGGAAATATAATGGGAACAAGTCCCGCTAAGGCCTCAGACTGCCAGGGAGGGGTGGTCACTGCAGGACAGGGACAATCCCATCAGTGGAGGAGCAGGCATGGGCACCAGCTCCTTGGGCAGCTGTGGGTGTGAGGGAGAGCACCTGTGCAGTGACCAGCACGAATGGCCCCTCCCAGGACGACTCAGTAAGTGCACCTGTCATGGTTACTACTGCTTTGCTATTTTGTCCATAGAGTAAGCAAGGTGTGTGTGCATCTGTGACAGAGGGAGGGAGACAGACAGATACATGTACACTCGGCTGGTATAGATTTTGGAGATAAACATGGGTAACAAAGCCACAAAAAAGTACTTATCTTGGGTCAGCAATGCCATTTCTACTCTGTCTAGACATATGCACACGATTCATGCACAAAGAAAGTAAAAACATGAAAAACTGAAAATAATCTTAATGTTCAACTATTCGGGTATTAGTCGTTGTTTAAATTGTGACTTACTATAAGACTACAATAAAACCATTAAAATCATACTTTCGCAGTGTATGGGATGGTTTAGGGAAATGCTGACAACACAGTAAATAAAAATACACCAGAGTTTGACCTCATTCTGTAACATTACACATACACATGCCCACAGCTTACTAGTACATAAGATCACAGAACTTCATTAACAGCCTTCCTACCTAATAGCACGGGAGCAATATTTTCTCCTTTGTAATTTTCAACTATTCAAATCATTAACTAATGACTTTTACAATTAGAAAGAGGATACCATGAAAACATTCCTTATAACAGCAGCACAGCCTGCAATGCCAACGCAAGCATAGGGCTGAATCTGTCCATACACAACCACTAGGGAGGCCTGGGGCCCCAGACCCTCCTCCTCCTCCTCCCGCTGATGCTCAGGACACATTACCAGTGGGTTGTTCCTCTGGGGGTGCAATGGATTCGCCAGTTGGGATGCTCAGGAGGAAGGTCTGTGGGTATGGTTCTGTAAGTGAACGACTAAAGAGGAGGGCCAACATCTGGGTGAATGTGGCCGCCTGAACACAGGCCTGACGTCCACCGCCCTGAAAGCACCGACAGGGACAGAGGAAAGTATTTTTTAAAGAGATACAAATCCATAGACCACAGACTGCAGAAACGGTTGGACTGCAAAGCAAGTGAGTGAAAGAAACACCCCAACTGGGAAGGCTGTGGCCTCTACCAGGGAAACAAGACAGCAGAACTCCAGGTAGCTCCCAGACAACAGTGTCAACACCACTTCCAACTAAAGATGCTCATATGTGTCTACCACTAAAGCTAAATGTTTGATACATTCTCAACACAAAAATATAAATATCTGCAAAACATGAAGACAACATGCATTTACAGAAACATTCCTGCTCATGGCTGGAGATACTGGGATGGTACCCCTGATCCCAGAACTAGAAGGTGGCTGAGATAGTGAACTGGCTTGCATTCGGGTTTCCAGTGTCCTGCCCCTTCTTCCTGCATGCATCCAACTCCTGCCCGAGTCACTGCTGAACATGTCCCCTGTCCCCTCTGAATGAGAGTGAGCATCCCTCCTGCATGCACTCTGGCCCTGTTGCTGCATGTCCCCAGTACCCATTCCCTTGGATATTATTCCCAAAGGAACTCTGACCTTAGCTATGAGACCTGCTTTGGCCAGTGGGGCAGTAACATCCTAGAGGGAAAACACACTTGCCCTTCTGCTGAGCTTGCAACTCTGAAACCAGCAAATAATCCCCTGGCCTCCAACAGCCTGCCAAACATCAGACCAGAGAGTGAGGCAATTATAGGTCAACCCCGCTGCTGCAGGTACAGAGAGAAATCCCAGGCCTGAAAAGCAGCTTAAACAACCCTCAACATACAAAATGACTGCTGTGGTAAGTGCTATATTTGGGGTCATTTGCTACACAGAAAAAGGTAACTGAGACGCTCCTGCAATACAGTCCTTGCAGTCCTATAAAACGGTAAGCATCACCACACAAGCAGGAAAGACCTAGTGGGGCTTAGATGCTAAAATCATTTCCCCTTTGCATGAAACGAATATTTGAATTATTGATCCCGATCTAAAGATGCAATAAATTCCAATTTCAGATACTTGGAAATACAAAAACCATGTGATTGTATCATTATACTTAAAATAGCCGCTGACAACTACAAATGCACTCATCAGTGAGTGGCCACTGTGAGAAGAGCTCCAAGGCCTCTCAAACTGTGGGACTGGTTTGCATCAGGAAAGAGGGACCTAAGCCAATGGGAAGGGAGAAATGATTCACTCCAGGGAAACCCCAGAGCTGTATCAGGAAGGGCATGTGGTTCCCTGAGTGCCAAGTGTGAGCAATACGCACACAGACTGACACAGGAAGGGAGTCTCTGAGTAGGTCTTTAAGCAGAGTAAAGTCTAAGTATACCAGTACTAAGTGGCCCCCAAGAAGTGGCCTTGTGTATGTGTGTTGGGGTTGAGCAGGAGAGCCAGTTCTTCCCTCAAGTGGGAAATTGCTCGCTGGGTTCTTTCCTGCAGGGAGAAAGCTGGCTGTCTAAACAGGGAATGTTTGCCTGACGAGGTCTAGGGCCTGTGAATCCGGGCGGAGGGGCAAAGAGGGGCAGCTTTGTTGGTTAACCCCACTTTTTGATTTGAAACATTAAAAACACATATTTCTTTGATAAAATAAAAAGTATTAAAACTATAACAACTCCCAAAGCAGCAAATCTAGAAAATAGTCTTTTAGTTATCTGTGCTATCCCAGTCGGTGAAAGTTCACAATTTCTGGGCACAGATATCCCCACACCCCAAACTCTGGCTCTCTCACACCCCGCCTCAGGTACAGTGCTCATTGAGACCTTGTTCAGGAAAGGAGAGAACTAACCATGTAGGATGCAAGCAGGAACATGGTACCTAAAACAGCCTGACTCGCAGAGAAACTGTCAAAGTCACATGCAGTACTGAGCACTGAGAGCTCATTAAAGATCTTCTGCACCCAAAGTTAACAATTTAAGTCATATTTTAAAAATGACTCCCTTCTTATTTACAAGTTTCTACTCAAATTCACTGATGATTTAATGGCACTAATTAGACTGTGTGCTCAAGAGCTCTGTCTGGCAAACACGACTGCCAAATGTCACTAACAATATGACAGCTTAGGAAGAGGGTTTAAATCATCAAAACAAAAGCCGCTGATGTAATGATACAATTACAAAGTTTAAACAGCTTTTATGATCTCCATTTTAAATGGAAAAACAAATGATTAAAATGAAGAGAACATGTGACCTTGAGATTCTTCCTGTGTGTGGAGAACCAGGCCTGAGCTCTCTTGGTGACAAGGGCATGAGAAGCACCCAACGGCCAGGCCGGCCCTGCACAGGCTGACATGAGGACTCGGGAAGGACACTGTCCCATCTCCATGGCAGGGATACAAATTCCTGAAGTGCCAGGTGAGAATAGGAACAGCGTCAGGACACCAGACCCAGCGCAGTCAGAGGACCAAGCTGCGGGAAGCCCACTTGCCCTGTGACGGCAGCACTGCCCTCTCAAGGGTCTTGATGATTCTTGCTGCCCTGATGACCTCATATACAAGGGATTTGTTTATTTCTCAAAATCTCATTTTTTTCTACAAACTATCAATTCAACAGACTCCTACATGAGACATGTTTAATGCCGGTTGGCACGAACCATGCCTGCAAGGTAGGACACTGGCGCTGTCTGTATTAGTGCATGACGACAGGAGTGTGAGGGACAATGCAATTCAATAGGTAGCTACTGAGGTCTTCCTTCAGCCAGGTACAGCTGTGTTGGGCCTGCAAACCCATGTCCATGTGGGGAGGCATGGACATGTGACTGATAGAGACACACAATGAAGGGCAGTGAGGGGCCCGCCTTTGGGAGCACACGCATGCACTCTATGTGCTTTGGGGGCTGCGAGAGAGGCCCACATGATAAGGACCTGAGGCCTCCTGCCCACAAACACATGTGAGCTTGGACATGGATCCTGTGGCCCTGAATGCCAGCTTGACCGCAACCTTATGACAGGCCTAAGCCCCAACCTCCAGCTAAGCTGCTCCTGGGTCCTCGACCCACAGAAACTAGGGGATAATACACGTCTATTGTTGTAGCTGCTAAGTTGTGGGGTAATATGTTACATAGAAATAAATAACATATACGACATGGGTTTTTTTGCTTTGTTTTAACGTGGCTACGAGGAAATGTAAAATTACCTACATAATTGTAACGTACCCTGTATATTTCTATAGGGCAATGCTGCTCTGCATGGCTCGAATACCATGAGAGCTTATCAGGACCAGCACATCACACCAGGACTGTTAACTACATATTGTACCTTCGCTACATTTCACTAATACATGTTTCTTTCCTATGTATTTAATTTTAAAATCTGGAATATGATTAGATACTTGTATAGAGTAAGCACCTCCCCCCCAAAAAAAAGATCTATGTTAGTTTTTCTTATTCTATTTAAATATAATAAAATGTTAACACTTCTTTCCAGTTACAAAACATCAGTAGGACAAAATGAGAAGAGGTAGACACCACCCAAGAGATAATCTGGGTTACTATTCCTACTGGTAATTTTCCTATTTCAGGACATGTATTGGCAGGTGAAATTAGATGGGAAGCACTCTCTCTGCTTTAAGTACATCCTACACTGGGACTTTAGACACTGTTTCCACTATATACTACATCTGCCACAATTTACTTGGCCAACACCCTGCTGCTGAAGATACAGGCATCCAGTGATCTGTCTTCGGGGCATGGCGAGGAATGTCCCTACCTGTGAGTCCTAACGGTGCAGCTGGTTGCTAGGGACCATGCTCAGCTAGGATCACGGTGAGAAAGCATGTGCTGGAACCAGGACTCACCTTGATGTGCTCATGCAGCTGGGCCTCGTGCTGCCGCGACAGCTGTTCGTGCTGCCTTTGGAACTCTGCGATGAGGATCTGCCGCTGCAGCTGCTGCTTCTGCTTCAGAGCCAGGAGCTCCTGCTGCAGCTGCTGTTCCCGGAGGGCGGGCTCCGCCACAGGCAGCGGGAACTGGTGGTCCAGGCGCAGGTCCATGGGCACCGCCGAGGGAGCCACCTGCAAAGGCAGCGCCGAGGCCACATCCACTGCAGAGAGAGCACAGCACAGAGCATGGTCATTGCAGGCCACGGCGTCCCCCACCTGAGCAACCACCCAGACCCTTAGCAAGCAGCAAGGGGTATCTGCATGCTGAAGGACAGTTCACATTTCAGATGCCTCTCCCCAACTCTTGCCCAAAAGGTTCACAGTGAGGGACTCAGCAGCCTATGAGAGGATCTACTACTCTTCAAGTACAAAAATCACAGTCATCATGAAGGTGAGACCAGGACACATTCACGCACACTGCCCCCTGCTCTCTCACAGGATGCCACTGCAGGCCCATCACTTTTCTGAAAGCAAGTTTGAAAGTCACAAGGAGAAAAGGGAAGAACTCTGGAGAGGGTTGAACAGCACTAAGTATGGAGGCTGACTGCGGTGTCGCTTCCTCCTTCTCACCAAGTCACTGAAGAGCTGTGTACCGGAAACACAGAACAGTGTGTGCCACAGAGTGGTCCAGACAGATGCTCAGGACGAGGGCCTGTTTCCATGGCGAAGCAAGTGCCCTCTCAGCAAACATGTTTACTGGCTGCAGCCCACGGAGTGCCTCCCAGCTGGCCTGCACAGGCACATGCATGAGCCGTGTCTGCTACACAGAACCCACGGCCTCTTCTAGGCTCGAAGGCTGGCGGAGGACAGCACCAGTGACTGAGATTAGAAACAGCAGCAGAATCAATCTTAATGCTGACAAGGAGCACAGGAGGAATGTAAGTTTTCAATTATGGACATCACAAGAGAACCCCAAGGTGGGTGCTCCTGCTGGGACAGGTTTCCACTTTGAAAATACATGAACACAGGCTTGCACTGTGGCCCAGAGAACTTTCCACAATGGTACTCAGACACGCTGTGCTCTCCCCCCGCATCCCCCAAATGGACTTTGCTCATAAAGCCCCCGAAGGAGCTGAGGGGAGAGCATAGCACAGAGACCCACAGCTCCCCGGTCACTTCCAGAAAGGACTCCCCAATCTGCTCTAGGCCCATTTCTTCATCAACCGACAAGCACCAGACCCGGAGGCCAGGGCAGGAGAAGGGGCCCTTGCCCTGAAGGGGGTTGCAAGACTCAGATGGGAGCCCCAATTCAAAAGGCCAGGGCCACCAAGGACCAGTTTTCTTACCTAAGGGCTGTCTCTGCCTGGACCCTAGCACAGGCCAAGTTATGCATATGACTTGGTCCCGGAGTCTGCCTGGAAGTAGTCACTCCCACTACACACATGCCCAGCCCTCAGGCCACAGAGCCCTCCAGTGGCAGATATACAGTTCCTGAGGAGTTCTGTGCTCCCAGCCCTATAGCCCATAGGTTCTGGTACAAAAGCCCAGCCCATAAATGGAACCACCCCTCGGGGCAGAGCATTTCTGTGGTCATTGCCCAGATGGCAGGTCCCACACTGGCCTTTCTGATAAGGCAAGGTCGGGGAAGGCTGGGGCTGAGGAAGAGGCTGGCTGTGTGGAAGCCCTGTGTTCTGACCCCGAGCAGACGCAGGCACTGCGCTCTGAGCACCATGTCCTGACAAATGTGTCATCTGAGTGCAGTGCATGGCTCATGGAGGCAGAGCCCAGGAAGCTGACAGGCTGGAAGCTGCCCAGGATACTCTCATCTCAGAGTCTGAAGCAGCTATAACACAGAACTGCCCAGAGGGCGATCAACAAATTCTCCACACTTGATCATTTTAAGAAACTATCCAATCTCCTCTCTTTTAACACTAACAAGCAGGGGTAAACACCAGCTGACTGTTTCTCTTCTGTTCCCCAAATCAGTGAAGTGCAACTCCCAACTTTTTAAATGTATGCATTTTTGTCTAATTGGGTATCAGACTTGACCCATTAAGAGGTTTTTATTTGATCTTTATGTGACAAAATCTATACAAATAAAGAGTGTTTTCCTGAACAGGCCCAGGGAAGAGTGGTGTCCCACCCACCCCCACCACATACAACCTGAGAAGACTAGATTTATTAATCCCCCGGCTTTTCTTGTTTTGATCATTTTATTATGAAAATATAGCAAACTGGATAAACTGGGTAAATAATACCAGTTTTAAAAAACCTCAATATCTTCCTCCATTTGCTTCAGACTTTCTCTGAAGGAAAAAGTCGTATGAAGGGCAGGGAAGAGAGCTTAGTAAAAAAGCTTAGCAACAAGGGGACTCGACCCCATGAGGAGATTCAGGTCATGTGTTTGGAGGGGTATCACTGTCACCTGTGAATAACGCTGAGTGCTCCCAAACCTGTCACTGCTGTGACTGACCACCAGCCTCACAGGTTCCCTCTGCATCCACCTATGAGATCCAAAAGTTATTGTCCATTAACCCACTAACCTGCCTCATTACCTCACAGATTATAGGTGAGGTACATGACGGACTTCTCAGGTGAGTTTGACTTTGCTTTCGAAGGACAGGCCTGACCCTACCTTTCTGGGTTACACACACACGGTCACTGTTTTAGAGAGAACTCCTGGGTCTATGTTCAGAGGTAGGAACAACCTACAGGGTCTCTCTCACACTGCTTGTCTGGTTAAACAGTGCTATTTTAGCTTCAGTAAATAACCACAGAGAACTAATGAATAAGCATAGCACCTACATTTTGTGAGCAGTGTCACTTTGGTGGCCACTATGGCAGGGGAGGTCAGGTGTGACCCCACTTAGAAGATGTACCAAAGTGACCTGAGACCCTATACAGCAGCAATGCCATTGCTGACAGGCCAGACCGAGGACTCATCACTGCCCACTTGAGCTCATCCTCTCCCTGTTTCTAATTTTTCATAGATGGGGCAGGGGGACCATCAGAAATGCCCCATAGTTAATCTCTTAAAACTAAACATAGCCCTAGCTGGTGTGGCTCAGTTGGTTGGGTGTTGTCCTATGCACCAAAAGGTTGCTGGTTCGATTGCCAGTCAGGGAATATGCCTGGGTTGCAGGCTCATTCCCCGGTAGGGGACATGCGGGAGGCAGCTGATCGAAGTTTTGCTCTCTCATCCATGTTTCTCTCTCCCTTTCCCTTCCTCTCTCTCTAAAAATCAATAATAATAATAAAAAACAAGAACAAAAAACAACTGTAAAAGGATCCTTTTTATTAACCAAACCTGTGATGGGCCACCGTGTCCATGCACATTTATCTGCTGCTAGTGTGCAGGACCTCCTGCTCTGTGCTGGGTGCTGGGCACAGGCACAGGCCTACAATGGGACACCAGATTGGGGGGCGGGAGGATGGGCTGACAAAGGCCCAGAGAAGGCCTGCAAGGGACTGCATCTCCCTGACATGGAAGAGGCATCACGAGCAAGGAACCAGGGGTCCGGGTGCATGTGTGGGGGTCATGGGAACTCCAAGGCAGAGGAGCTCATATCCCCTGCCCTGTGGATGGCCCCTGGGCAGGGGGACAGGCAGTGTGGGGAGGCTGGACCAAAAGCAGAGGGGCTGGCAGCGGGTTCAGGGGCTGAAAAAGAAGAGGATGGTGGCCTCGGGAAAGCAAACGAGGATGGAAGATGCTGAGGCACAGCAGCACACTCAGGTGGCTCCTGCTCAGTAATGACGTGGGGCAGGCAGCGCACACCCACCACATTCAAACCGAGGTTTGTCTTGTTAACTCAAATGCTCCTCAGAGTCTCCTGAGTATGGAATCCCAGGGAATCTTCTAAGGACACCCTCCCTGGTAGCTGGTGAGTCCTCCTGCAGACACCAAAGAGCAATGGGTCCAGGTGAGGAGTATGCTGATGTGGCTGATGAACCTGCAGACAAACCTCCCTGCTGCCAGGAGTGAAACGAGTGGGGTATGAAGGTGGCTGAGCCGGGGCAGAAGCGTCCTCAGTGAATGCATCACCGTTCTGACTGCAGCATTTCCTCCACATTTGCTGTTAGAACGGAATAAAGTCTTGCCTCGGTTTACCTTTTTGAGGTATCAGAGAAAACTTCACTCTTTTGCTACAGAAAGTTGAAGAGCAGAGAGAATGAAAAGTCGAACATTACCTATGTCAGACACACCCAAACTAGCTCCTGCCTTTCCTCCACCCCTGCTGACAATGCTCCACTTACAGTTAGACACAAACACAGCGTGGCAGCACACGTGGGCCACAGAGAGCCATGCAGGGATCAAGAAACGCTACCTGCTCACCCTAGTGTGCCCCACACAGACACGCCAGGTGGGGAGAGTGGCCGTAGCTGTCCCCAGCCCTGTCCTGCACACCAGCTGCTGAGAGAAGTCACAATCCCCATTCATCCTAGCCTCCAGCGGGTGCGTCAGACAAGACTTGTACTGATTCAGTATCAAAAACTAGCTGAAATGCCATGAGTTCCCAGCAGAAGTTGCTAGTGCCTCTGACCCAGAGCGCCCTGGAGAAAACAATCAAACCTTCTCTACTTAAAGAATGCAGCACCAAAACAAAAAAGCCTGTATTCCCATGAATATTTTATGGTGGAGAGAAAATTGCTTGTATAGGTTGTGCCATGAGAAATACATTAACACAATCAGACTCGTGACGTCAGCAGAAGCACAAAGAGCACATTCAGGGCCCAGTAAGAAATGCCGACTGTGCTGTTCTCAACCACAGAGAGAAGAAATCTGGGATACTGTTTCTTTATTTAGTAAGTGATCATAAAGGACACTGTCACTTTCCATGGTTAGGTCCTCTCTTCACACACCATGCCATGCCATCATATAGACACGAAACACAGAGAAGCACTATTCCTCAGAAAACACGGCCAAAGTTCAGGGTCCATTCAAGTGAAGAATGAGTCATTCAAATCCAGGGAAAAATAATAGATATCGCAACTATGTAACCACAATTTCCTCTTACTCTGACATTTTGCCTATCTGGGGAGGCGGAGAAAGGGAGGAAAAAGAAGACGGGGTAAATTAGAGATGTAACTGAAAAACATGTTCCCCTATGGCTGTGAAATGTGTCCACACACTGAAAAACATGTGTTGGGATAAGGAGTGATGCCGGAAGGCCCTGTGTGCTCTGCATATCACATGCCCGCCCAATACTCGTCAGGCAGCCCC